ACGCGCTATAGCACATTACCCTCCCCATCTACCGCACTTTAACACACCCCCTATCTCCGCGCTTCACGCTGTAACACATTCCCCCATTTTCAGCACTATAATTCATTCCTCCCCCATCTTCCACGCTATAACACATCCCCCATCTTCAGCGCTATAACACATGGCTCCCCCATCTTCCGCGCTATTACACATTCCTCCCCCATCTTCCCCGCTATATCACATTCCGCCCCTATCTTAAGCGGAATAATACATTCCTCCCCAATTCTTCCGCTCTATAACACATGTCCACATCTTCCGTGCTATAACACATTTCTCCCCCTTTTTCCGCGCTAAAACACATTCCTCCCCAATTCTTTCGCGATATAGCACATTCCCCTCCCCATCTACCGCGCTATAACACCCCCATCTTCCGCGCTGTAACCTTTCCCCCATTTTCAGCACTATAACCCATTTCTCCCGCATCTTCCACGCTATAACACATCCTCCGATCTTAAACGCTATAACACATTCCTCCCCAATCTTCCGCGTTATAACACATTCCTCCCCTATCTTCCGCGCTATGACACATTCCTCCCCAATCTTCCGCGCTATAACACATTCCTACCCAATTCTTCCGCACTATGACACATTCCTCCCCATCTTCCGCGCTATAATACATTCCTCCCCCATCTTCCGCGCTATAAAACATTCCTCCCCAATTCTTCCGCGCTATAACACATTCCTCCCCCATCTTCCGCGCTATAACATATTTCTCCCCCATCGTCCGCGCTATAACAGTCCGCGCTATAACACATTCCTCCCCCATCTTCCGCACTATGACACATTCCCCCCCCCATCTTCCGCGCTATAACACATTCCTCCCCAATTCTTCCGCACTATAACACATTTTTCCCTATCTTCCGCGCTATAATACATTCCTCCCCCTTCTTCCACGCTATAAAACATTCCTCCCCAATTCTTCCGCGCTATAACACATTCCCCCATCTTCCGCGCTAAAACACATTCCTCCCCCCATCTTTCACGCTATAAAACATTCCTCCTCAATACTTCCGCGCTATAGCACATTCCCCTCCCCATCTACCGCGCTATAACACATTCTTCTGTCTTCCGCGCTGTAACATATTTCCCCCATTTTCAGCGCTATTACACATTCCTGTGCTATAACACATTCCTTGCCCATCTTCCGCGCTATAACACATTCCTCTCCCACCCCGCTCTATAACACATTCACCCATCTAACGCGCTTTTACTTCCGCGCTTTTACACCTTCCTGTGCTATAGCACATTCCTTGCCCATCTTCCGCGCTATAACACATTCACCCATCTTCCGCGCTATAACACATTCCCCCATCTTCCGCGCTATTACACATTCCTGTGCTATAACACTTCCCTTGCCCATCTTCCGCGCTATAACACATTCACCCATCTTCCGCGCTATTACACATTCCTGTGCTATAACACATTCCTTGCCCATCTTCCGCGCTATAACACATTCACCCATCTTCCGCGCTATAACACATTCACCCATCTTCCGAGCTATTACACATTCCTGTGCTATAACACTTCCCTTGCCCATCTTCCGCGCTATAACACATTCCCCCATCTTCCGCGCTATTACACATTCCTGTGCTATAACACATTCACCCATCTTCCGCGCTATAACACATTCCCCTATCTTCAGCGCTATAACACATTACTTGCCCATCTTCCTCGCTATAACACATTCCTCCCCATCTTCCAAGCTATAACACATTCCTCCTTCCCCCATCTTCAGCGCTATAACTCATTTTCCCCCCTCTTCCCCGCTTTAACACATTCCTCCCTCCCCCATCTTCAGCGCTATGACACATTCCTCTCCCATCTCCCTCGCTATTACACATTTACCCATCTTCCGCGCTATAACACATTCCCCCTATCTACCGCGCTGTAACAAATTCCTCCCCCATCTTCAGCGCTATAAACATTCCCTCATCTTCCGCTCATTAACACCTTCCTTCCCCATCTCCTGCGCTATAGCACGTTTTGAATCATATCCTGCGCTAAAGCACGTTTTCTCCCATCTTCCGCGCTATAACACGTTTCCCCCATCTTCCGCGCTATAACATGTTTCCCCCATCTCCAGCGCTATAACATGTTTTCCCTCATCTCCCACGCTATATCACGTTTTCCCCCATCTCCCGCGCTATAACATGTTTTCCCTCATCTCCCACGCTATATCACGTTTTCCCCCATCTTCCACGCTATAACACATTCCCCCATCTCCCGCTCTATAACAACTACCTTCTCCATCCCCCGCGCTATAACACGTTTTCCCCAATCTTCAGCGCTATAACACATTACTTGCTTATATTCACCGCTTTGTCCGTCTCCATTGCTATAACACAGCACATCAGTTCATGTTACTTAACGGTTAAATAAATTGTTTAAAAGTGACAATTTCTTATAATATTGCATGCTCAAATACCACATCTTTCGTAGATTGAACTATTACGCCTACTCGCCCTCAGTACGTCACGAAACTCCCTGCAAGGCAAACATAACACCCAGCTGTCCAGCCACGGTCTACCAAATGTACATGATAACGGGTAAGCGTGAATATAGAAAGTAGCACGTTTTCCATCATCTCCCGCGCTATAACATGTGTTCCCCCATCTTCCGCGCTATAACATGTGTTCTCCATCTTCCGCGCTATAACATGTGTTCCCCATCTTCCGCGCTATAACATGTGTTCCTCCATCTTCCGCGCTATAACATGTGTTCCCCCATCTTTCGCGCTATAACACGTTTCCCTCTCCCCATCTTCCGCGCTATAACACATTTTCCCCCATCTCCAGCGCTTTAACACGTTTTTCCCGATCTCCAGCGCTATAACATATTTTCCCCCATCTTCCGCGCTATAACACGTTTTCCCCCATCTCCCGCGCTATAACACCTACCTTCCCCATCTTCCGCGCTATAACATGTTTTCCCCATCTTCCGCGATATAACATGTTTTCCCCCATCTCCCGCGCTATAACATGTTTCCCCCCATCTCCCGCGCTATAACATGTTTCCCCCATCTTCACGTTATATCACGTTCTCTCCCATCTTCCGCGCTATAAAACATTCCCCCCATATTCAGCGCTCTTACAGATACCCCCCCCCCCCATCTTCCGCGCTATAACACATTCGCTATTACACGTTTTTCCCCATCTTCAGCGCTATAACACATTACTTGCTCATATTCACCGCTTTGTCTGTCTCCATCGCTATAACACAGCCCATCAGTTCATGTTACTTAACGGTTAAATAAATTGTTTAAAAGTGACAATTTCTTATAATATTGCATGCTCGAATACCACATCTTTCGTAGATTAAATTATTACGCCTACTCGCCCTCAGTACGTCACGAAACTCCCTGCAAGGCAAACATAACACCCAGCTGTCCAGCCACGGTCTACAAAATGTACATGATAACGGGTAAGCGTGATTATAGAAAGTTGTCTGGTCATTTGCAAAAGTATAAATTTAATGTTGATATGTTTTGTATATATTAAGGTACACTGTTGTCATAGTAAACGAACAAGTGTGTCATTGTTGCCAAATTAAAGAAGGCAAAAAAGACCGAACACTGTAGAAAACTTAAACTAGCGTTTTTAATTTTAAACGATAAATAAGAGATTTTATCTTTATACCCAAATATGTTATCAATTTAAAAATGCGAGTAAATGTGAAACCGTAATCAGTTCCAAGACGTATAATATACGTAGAACTAGTTCTTATTAATAATCTATTTTTCGGCAGTGCAAAGCAAGTCTCTTATTTATAACTCATTCATTAATTTATATAAGACAACAGTCTTCCATTTCCCCTATAGCAACAGTCAGTTCATAATATCCTATAAATTTATACGGTAGCAACAGTCAGTTCATAATAATCTTATAAATTTATACGGCAGCAACAGTCAGATCATAATATCTTATTAATTTATACGGCAGCAACAGTCAGTTCATAATAATCTTATAAACATATACGGCAGCAACAGTCAGTTCATAATAATCTTATAAACTTATACGGCAGCAACAGTCAGTTCATAATAATCTTATAAACTTATACGGCAGCAACAGTCAGTTCATAATATCTTATAAATTTATACGGCAGCAACAGTCAGTTCATAATAATCTTATAAATTAAATTTATACGGCAGCAACAGTCAGTTCATAATAATCTTATAAATTTATACGGCAGCAACAGTCAGTTCATAATAATCTTATAAATGTATACGGCAGCAACAGTCAGTTCATAATATCTTATAAATTTATACGGCAGCAACAGTCAGTTCATAATAATTTTATAAATTTATACGGCAGCAACAGTCAGTTCATAATATCTTATAAATTTATACGGCAGCAACAGTCAGTTCATAATAATCTTATAAATTTATATTTTGCATCAAAGAAATTATTATAAAGTACAAAATTGTGGGGTACATTAGATGATTTAATGGTTGTGGTCTTTTTTTACTTCGGTAATTCAAAGATTCGCTTTACTTACAAGTATACTTCTTAAAAATTATGCACTCATCAAGAGAAAAATCATCACATGAAATATTGTGGTTAGGTTTTTTTTTATAATTATACTGAATCCTACTTTAAACCTCTTGAAGTTGTCTATCTTATTTCATGTTCAATATAAGAAATTTATAGACTAATTTTTGCTGCAGATTTTGTTCAACATGTCAATTGTTCATCAAGTGCAAGAAATAGTGTTATTGTATTTCGATTTTATAATACATGTATTTCATCCTGAAATTGTAACGTATAGGGGAAATTAAATTGACAAAAGTATTAATATTGAATCAACATGATCTACATACGGAAGTGAGATAACGGTTAGTTATCATTAGCAATCGTTGATGTAGGGGGAGTTTACATCCGAGGTAAATGCTTGTTCCTGGTTGGCTAAGTGACGTTCATATAATTATCTATTTTTAGCTTTCGAAAAACCCTCTAGTCGCCAATAAATATGTCTAGTTCATAGTTGTCTGTATCATTTTACGATAAGGAACAGAGAGTCAAACGTTGTCTATCAAACAAAGCAATAGAACAATTATATATATATTTAAAATTGTAAGTGTTTAACATTTGTATATGGATGTTATTCCATTTAATGTTTTTAAATCTTACATATATAGTTTATATATAAATGAAGTTTAAGCACAATATCAAAATTGGAAATAAAACCTCAAAATATAATTATAAATTAGATTTTTTTTCTTTATTTCAGATGTTCTTTAACCACATTATGATGTTAGAAGCTGTTATCGTCTGCGCAATTTTTGTTCAGAACACGTGGAGCGTTCCGATCCATAAACAACCGGGGTCGAGTTTGCAAGAAGATTTGGAAAGGCATAAACGGTCAGATTACACCGTTGAGTTTAAAATGAATAGTGAATCACATCAAAACTTAAAGGAAAATAAAACCTTAAACGAAATTGCCGATGCCAGTGTGCAGGACTTTAATAACGATCTTGTATGTCCAGATGAAGTTTCAACAAGAGCATCCGACCCGGTACACAAAAGGTCAAGTTGTCCCTGGTACTACAAAGTAACACATGAACCAAGGAGATGGCCAGTTACCATTATTGAGGCAGAATCACTCTGTCCCTATGCCATTGGTTCAAACAAAGGATTAGAGTGCACTCCAGTGACACAGGCCATGTCTGTGCTGATTCAGGACACTCAAAAAGACTCACAGGGGTTGTACGTATGGAAGCAGAAAACTATTCAAATCGCTGTAGGCTTTACAGCATCTGGTAGACGTATTGCTGAAAGCCAAACGCCTTCACCTACCACAGTCGCACCAAATGATGAGCCAGTATGGGCCAAATAAGATATTTGGGATTACGACAGTACATCATTGCCAGTAAGGCATTTTGTCCAAGTTTATGGACATATATGTTGGGCCATACTGGCTCCCTATGATAATAATGACACAGTGTAAGGTTGTACAATACTTTATTTAGATTTATAGAAACAAATGTGTTCAGAGACTTTTTCTTTTACAATATAGTTAAAGTTCATAGCATTATGGTACATGTGATGTTTAACATTTTTATTCTTATAATATTTTACATATATACATTTATACACCCTTATTTCGCTCGTTTGATATTTATGCATTTATTATAAATGATGTGCATTTTCTCTCTTTAAAGAGTGGAGAATATTACTTGTGGTTTTATTTTATAATGATAACAATTATTATTATCATTATTAATGTTATCATTATTGCATTTCTTATACATTTATTCTACAAAAGCTGAGGCACTCAGAACAAATTTCAAATTAATTTACACTTTGAACATATCAATCATTCCTACTTTATTGGGGTTTTTAATTGACTTTTTTATATAAATTATTTTTATTTCATTTAATCCTATCTTTTTGATTTTTTTTTATTATTTATTTATTTATTTATTTTGGAGGGGGACTATTTAAGGACGAATAAGTGTTAAATTGTAAGGATGTCAGTTATTTATTTGCGTAATTCCTATTGCTAGAAAGTGTACGGGTTATTGTCATTTATTTGCGTTTTTTTATTATTATTTATTTGCTAGAAGTACAGTATTTAACGATGTGCGTTTAGTTTTTGTCGGTATCTTGATCTTTAAAAAATATACTGTTACATGTGCAATACATATTTTCTTATTTATGTTTTACAAGTTTTTGTATTTACAATTTACTTTATTTGTTAGATTTATTTATTTATTTTTAATGTTAAGTTTGAAATAAAAAAAAATGATTTAAATGTTTGCCTTTTCTTTCATTCTCATTTCATTACATCGATATCCCGAGGGTCTGCATTTATTAGTATCACAGTACTGTGTTATTTTAGTAGTGCGTTAAAGTTGAATTTAGAATGACCAGCGGTCAGCCATTAGGGCGAGCTTTGGCGTATCATAAATACGTTATACTCTAAAAAATGTGTGAAACATAGCCGGGTGGAGAAGTTAACTTTAGGTCATGGTTTGATGACCTGTGAATCCTTTATAGTGCAAAAAAACACGTCAATCTCTGTTTCTTTATAAAATGATAAAACAAAATTGATTTGATAAACAAAATAAAATAAAACATTAGTTTATTTTATTTTTTTGCTGTTTATTTAGCATAAAATGTATAGAGTTTAGTAACGAATAGCAATTAAACACCCAATCATCGCCTGGGTTTTTGCTTTTTTTTCTGCATTTTAGTTAATAATAATTCTATATAATCTAGCTCAGAAGAGAAGCCACGGAAATTTGAACAAAAACCACTTTATTTTTATTATGTGACAAGTTAGTATGCCGCAGTTCTATATACAAAATGTCACTAAGAATATACAAAATTGAGCATATTTTTCTGATAACTGGTCGACGAATCGGTCATCTTCATGAAAAAATTGAGATTGTGTTCACCGTATATAACTATATTAAAGTAAAATGCCTCCAGATTCATGCTAATGTTCATGAAAGTTTTGAAAATGTTTAGAAAGAATGTATTGTGAAGTGAAGAAAGCAATTTACACGGAACTGACAATCGACGTTAACTACACAACAAGATGTCAAAATAAGCAAAAATAGCCCTTACTGCGTTAGTCACGCAGAAGAAATATAGTGATAAATACTGCAAAATCAGTAATTAATTGCACATAACATTTATTTTATTTAGAATTTCTCCAAAGTTTGATTTTATTGAAATGTTTCGGCTCATCTGGAGTATTGCAGCTTTAAATGTATACCTATTAATTTTCATGTAATCATGAAATATACGAATATACATGAATGCATTGAAGAATTTCTGTAGAATTACGTGTACATATATAACATACACTGTACATTGATAGTTTTTCAAACACATATTCCAATTTCTCTGAAATTTGGTGACCGTTTTTTTTATTAAACAGAGTATGCGGAACTTATACTTCTAATATCTACAATTACCATACAATGCTGCATATAAAATACAAGAACAAAATCAACGCTGTAGTATATATACAGCAAAATTTTCGGTTTTGTATGTTCGGTTAAATTTGCTTGGAAGTCGCCATAACGATCATTAAGTATCAGTGTGACGTAAAAATTCAACAACAGCAGCAGCAACAACAAACAACAAAAATACCAAACAACAGGAAAAACATAGATTGTAGTTTCACTATTGAAATTTGAAAATATACCAAATTCTTTATGGCATAATTTCTACAAAATAACCGAAGTACATAAGTTTGCACATAAATGTGTCCATGTGCAACATTTATTTTTACGTTATTCCTTTTCATAATGTTTATTTTAAATGTAATGTCACTCTGTATTGAAAAGGGACTTTTAAAAAAAGAGAAAAAAAAAGAGATTAGCATACCATTACGTGGAGTGTAAATTTCATCGAATAATAAATGTTACACTGACAATGGAGGCAAAAAACTTCCGCAATTTTAACACCTTTAAAAACAACTCCTATTTTTCTGATATAAATATGCTTTGAATTTGCTGAATGCTGACATTGTCTCTAGATGGAATGAAAGCTCAAAATTCACATTTCACTCTACTGACTTTTGTTCTATTATATCTATCTTCGATAAGAAAATGAAGAAATATTTGAGCTGTGTCACGACAAGACCAACATAATGGGTTTGCGACCAGCATGGATCCAGACCAGCCTGCGCATCCATGCTGTTCGCTTACAAACTCTATTACAAGTAGAGAAACTGATAGCGAACAGCATGGATCCTGATCAGACTGCGCGGAAGCGCAGGCTGGTCTGGATCCATGCTGGTCGCAAACCCATTATGTTGGTTTTGTCGTGACGCGGCTCATTTATGAAAAAAAAGTATCAAAAGTATCAAGAGGCCAATCTTTACAGAATTTCATATTTCATAAACAACAAAAACAGCTGAGTGATACAAAATGAACGTGTTAAAGCCATTTTCTTTGTCAATTCCTTTTTTTGACCTTGTTAATTCTATATAGGCAAGTAAATTTAATGGTTGTCGATTTAACTCACATTAGTCAGACATCTTATTTTGTTCAGGTATGTGGAGAAGAATGAAAGGGGTTGTGAAATCAACCAATATTCGTTTGAAATCACCACCATGTCAGAAACAAGACATTTTTACATGCCATCATCTTACAGTCTTTATGAATATTTTCGGTACATTTGATTTTTTTTTTCAAAACGTGAAATTTCAAAATGTCAAAATATTTAGAGCCTTTACTAAGCTATTATATCATTATGCAAGTAACCTATTCTTAGGTAAATCAATAGGTAGAAAATAAATTCTTGCATTGTTTCACTAATAATGACTAGATTTTCATTGATAAATGCCCTTGTTTAACACGCAACAGACGCATTTTAACCACATATCTTAAATACTTTAGTATAATGATCAACAAATTGTTTACATGTTTGAAAATAATATGCATGTTGTGGAATGATATATTTAGTAGTTTGAATTTTTGTATATATGCACTAAAAACTTAGAATTAAAAAAAAAGACTAACGTGAATTTAAGATCATGTTATCATGCTTAATAAGCACGAATTTACATGGTGAACATTTTTAATCGAGAAAGAGTTATAATAACCTAGTCCGAAATGTAACAAATGTAATAACTTTATAATGAAGGTTTTCTTACAGATCTATTAAATCAAAGTAAACATACAATTACATTGAAAACAGTGTTAATTCTACACATGTATACGTTTATTAGTATACCTAGCATTTTAACTAGAAAAAAATAAAATATAATAATAAAATAAGCGATGCATGAAATAAGCACAATTTAAAATGTATTCTTTAGCCGACATGAAAAGAATGACGTACCACTACGTCACGTGTACCGAAGCCGTTCCTTATGTTGCGGATGTTATCAGGGATCGACAAAAATAACCATTCAGTTCAACAATATGTCATAAATATAATTAGTATTTTGACCTAGTGATTAGCAAGCAAAATTATAATAAATGCCGGATATAATAACTTCACTTTATCATCAGTTTTGTTATTTCTAATATTAGTAACATTTTCTAATAACCCAAATGACAAACTCATAATGACAGTGTAAAACATCATTTTGAAGCACACGCTGTTTAGTGTTTACATATATAAACAATGTTTGGAATAATAATTATTATCACCTAGTTCTATTTTTGCTTTTAAAAATCAAATATAACACGTGTCTTGTGATTCAGAAGTAAAAATCATCACACTTATAGTACATTTATATGTACATGTGTCTGTTAAAAAACAAACAAACAAAAAACAACAACAACAACAACAACAACAAAAACGAACAAAAAACATTTTTATCACCGTCTTGATTTACACTATTATATTTTTTTTCACTTTAATGCGTGCGTCTGCGTGTGTTGTTAATTATTTTTGTTGTTTTTTTATTTGTAATGATATTTGAAGGCCATTTTAATGCGATTTTTCATTATTTTAATGTGTTATCTTCAAATACTATTATTTTTTGTTTGTTTCATTTTACGCCTTTTACAGTATTTCAGTCATATAGGCGGGTAGTTTCCTAACCAACGTTCCTGGAGAGTTACACCAGTACTAGACTACCTTCCTCCGCGCTAAACTACCAAAGTATCTCCCGGGGATCGAACCCACGCCAGAGAGGTAACTGGATTAGAAGTCATCGACTCTAACCCCTCGACCACGGAGGCGGTTCCAAATACCATTAAAGTCATTACTTAATTGAACAAGTAAAGTAAAAGAAATTAATGATCTGACAATTTCATACTGATGATGGTGGTGGGGATAATGATTTTGAGGATGGTAGTCGTGATGATGATGATGGTGATAGGGTGGTAATTGGTTAGAAGAGGTGTGATAACGAGGGTGATGGGCGGTTGTGGTGGTAATCATGTTCATGATGATGACGGTGATGATGATTATCATTATTGCGGTGATAATGTTGGTCATAATGATGATGATGGTTGTAATAGTTGTGGTGGTGGTGGTGGTGACGGCGCCGCGGCAACGGCGATGTTTGTGGTGGTAGTGTTGGTTATGATGATAATATTTCGGTGAATTCTTTGTTTAAAAACAAAACTAAGTTTATATTACTATAAACATAGCACACAATTTAAAAAATTCATCTCACATAATGCGTAAATATACATGTATACACGCCATATACAGTAGTTCCCATTGTAAGAAATAAATGATCGGGATATATTGGTTTCTTTTAAACTTCCTTAAAATATATTGTCTTCAATTACGTGACACGTAATATATATAAATTAATCATATCTATTCATCGATAAACTTCCTGCATTTTATTGAATAACTATAATGGTAGTGATTGAATGACAAAGTATAGAACTGTGAAAATGTATGTGTGGTTTTATAAGCATGGAAGTAAATTGTTGGTAAATCAAATTGGCTAATTAGCTGAATATATACATGCACTTTTAATGAACAAAAATGTAAAATTTCAATAAACAGAAACAGAAGGTTTACAAAATAAATCAACATGTTTTCCCCGATATTCTTCCTTTGACGTACATATGTTAAAATGGCTTGTGGGAAATTTAAGCTACCGAATTAATTTTATTTGGTTAGAGGGAAGGTATAAAGCCCGCATACTTCTTTAGTGTTGTTTACAGTCATCACGAGAAGAATATCAACCTCCATGGTGTTGAATTACATATATATGGTCTCTTAAACTATTGGTGTACTGCATGGAATTACAATATCACGTGAATAATTCTCAATAAGAGCGTTAACACCGTCTGACAACAAGTCCTTCCAAAAGACCCCGTCCCTGC